AGGGTACCAGCTTCTTGGATAATGTAGGTAGTGACGCCTTCTATGAAGGCTTTGGTAACCGTAAACCATCAGGAAGAAGAGCGTGCTTGATTAAGGGTTAGACGGGGTCTGGTAGGCTGGGGTAGAGTAACAATTAAACTATTTGTTATTGACGAGGCAAAGATTCATTTGGATTCTACAAATATATCAAGTGGAATTTCAAGTAGATAAGGTGATGGAGAGGTGAAAATTGTTTTATGTAATAAAATTGACTTTTTCCATTTTCATTTCTTATATCTATATCTCATATTGTTATTTTTCCTTATCGTATTTATCTTCGCCGTGCTCTTCGTCAATCTTCACGTAAACAACGTTAGGCCCTGTACACTGAACTGAAATTCTAAAGGCGATTCCCATTAAATTCCTATAGGAGCACCTTTGAACCTGCCCCGCGTCACGTAATGAGTAAGACACAGAGCATAAAGGTGAGCGGAAAGAAAAAAATTGGAAAAAGGCACGGAGGCACGTACTGAAATGAAGTAAATTGTTGAAAGAAGAATGCCATTACACTCGCTCAGTCTCGGTATTTTTGTTCGCCGGAAGGAGCCAAGGAGAATAAAGTGGATTTTAATATCGCTTATTTATTCATGCTTATAGCCCGCTTCGGCCGCTTAAGATTTTCATAATAACAGGCTGCGCGCATCTTGGTATCGTATTATTCGCAAACGATATAGCATTTCTTAAGGTTGTGTCTATGCAAATACGTAAATTTCATTCGTTCCCATAACCATAGAGATACGTGTCTATTCGCAGCATGTCGGAGCATCCTGTTAGAAACTCTCCTCGCTCTATTCGTCTCTATCTAACTGCCATTGCTTCCTCGTGCTCTTTCACGTGCTCTGTCTCGCTTGCTCTCGCACCAAACTCACAGAGCCCGTACGCCTCTATCGTCCCTGTAGGACAATTCTGTTTTTCCGGAATTTTCCCAATTTCAACGTGCCGTGCAGACTTTCGCAGGGGAACAAGGAGGCGTCCCACGTCGCGACGACTATCGCGTCGATTTGTCTGCGAATTTTTATATTTGCAAAGCAAATTTTCCCACATCCCCAGTGAAGCTCTATCCCGTGCACTGCAGATGGTTGCGCGTTACTATCGGCCGTGTAGGTAAGTATCTACTCCGCCTATCCACTTGGTATCTTATGCACGTCCCGCACCTATCCGCCTTCGTATTGGCAGCACTCGTAGGAACTTACGGATTTTTATATCCATAACTCGGCCGTGTAAACCTGACTTCGCAGGAATACGTAAGACGCTTGACCTAGTCCATACGCTCGACGAAATCGAACTTATCGCCGTCTCGTGGACGATCGTTGCACTTTTTACCTATGCAAACTTTTCCTTCGTCATTACTTTCAAAGAATTGGCGAAACGGCAAACTTTCAGCTCGTAGCTATGTTGAAAAACAAAATAAAACAGAATTTAACCACAGGTCCTCAAGTAGCAGTACTTCGAACTCCACTCAATTGTCTACAGGGACTGTCGACTCGTGAAAGAATCATCGTCATTACGCTAATACGCTTAAAGACATATATCATTGTTCTCATGAATCCTCAACGAGGTAATTTATGGTTTCCTTTTAAGAGGAGAAAAAAAAGTAACTCCTGTCACGCGAGATGCCCTATGACCTCCCTTTTCTCGGTTAAATACATCCTCTCGGCTCATGACTATGGCAAAGGGATGAAAAGGCTTTCGCCAACCCCATAATAAAGCATGGTGGTATCCTACTAGGCACGGAAGGCAGGGGAAAAAATGGAATAAAAAAATAAAGGTAGATTTATGTAACGGGGATTCACTAAAATTTGGAAAAGTCCATTTAGCAATGCAGAATGCGACATTCTTCACGAGGGCGAATTTTTCGTATTTCGCGTTATAGCGCTGGTACCACCTAATACCGTGTAAGGGATGGAAGTATAGAAGGGGTTGAAAGACGGTAAACACGTTACAGAGGCACCCAGCCGTAACGGTAATAAAGTCCGACGCCATATTTGTCTCGACCCATGTTATTCTCCTGCATCCCTTACTTTTTACTATGTCCCTAGGTTTTCAGCTAGCACCCATAGGTACTGCGTTATTTCGTTGGTAGCTCTACTGTCAAATGAACGACAGAAAAAAAAATTCCCTAGAACGTCAGAGCGTCGCGGCTCAATTTTCCACATGGCCTGTCAGCTGCCCCACTCGAAATACCGATGTTTAGAATGACGTAGGGGGATGAAGAGAAATTAGTGATAATTCGGTGCATCCCAGTTATGGCTAGTGCACGCGTGTAACCACGTGGACTATCGATAAGGTCTGGATAACATGGCAGCCAGTTGGCCAGCTTTATCTTGGCTGAATGCTGAGCCGGCAGAAACTTCATCTTTCACGCAGACTTGAGTTTTGATACATGTGCTGTTGGAGCGTTTGTTCAATCCCCGTCATACCTATATATATACATATATATATAATGTATATTTCCACCCTTCACTTCATTTTTCCTCATTCCTTACGTTCCTTTCTTTCTTCTATTCCTTTCTCAGATTCTCAATTTCTCCCTATATCCGTACGGCCATTCCAGTATTGGACCATGCGTATATAGGCAGGTTTATTTTTATTCCATACGATTCATTCGATTGAACATGACTTGCGGTTACAGCCGACGATATATTTCCAATATTACAGGCCGACATTCCACCATCCCGAGAATCCTTCTGTATTCTTTTATCATATCGTTATACTTGTGTCTCTGGAGAAGATGTTACTGCCATTGATACACCAGTTTATATATGTATATACTTAGTCTGCAAGTAAAGTACAAAGAAACGAGCCAATGAAAATAATGGCGATTCTCAAACGATCGCGATTTTATCGCTGTGTGTTTGCCTTTAGGATACCTCACGTACAATTTTCTTTATTTTCATGAAAGATGACCCGCTGCTACGATTCGTTTATAGGGAACCGACGAAAAAAAATTCTCGGTGATGAGTGCGACCGTTCAGCTGGGCGCCATTCGTTCACGTCGACGAAAGAAGTTCTCGTGTAAACGCTGAAAATTTGATGTGTCTTTCACTCGCATTTATCCTTCGTAGTAGTCTCTTTTCTTCTTTTTCTTCTATTTTCTTCTCTCTCTTTCTCTCTCGTTACTTGAGAAACATGGAAATTGCAGTCGGCCGAATTCAGCGATACAGAAGCACCAGCGACATTCTGTTAGGTAATATCGAGATACACGAAGCCTACACGGCCCTGAGTATTTATGTAATATTATGCTCATTATATATTAAACTTACCTTTTGAATTTTCCCGCCATATAACACGCTTTAATAACACGTCAATGTAATCTCTTGTCTGGTATGCACATTGGTGTAATTTTGTACGTGACTGCATGCATAATATGTATAATAATTAGGATATAACATTGTTCTAACGAGGCATTTCATCGTTCAGAACCATTATGGTTAGTTATTAATTAATGCTTTATTCGCGACCCTTAATTAACATATCAAAGTATGGATTATTATCGTTGCTAATATCCTACTGGTCATCTCCATGCATTACGCAACGGTTACATTCTTCCAGGCGTGGTAACAACGCATGATTAAGTTTTTTTATTAACTATAGCGAATTACCAAAAAAATTTCATCTAAAAATGACCATCGAAATATTCGGTTTTTATTCATTTTTTTTTTCCATTAAATTTTCTGTATACCCAGACGCTTTAGCGTAATTGCAGACTCGCGCCTGCCCTTAGACAGACCCGTACAATGTTTACGATTAACTGACCCCGCATCTACTTACCTAAAGGGGAAAAGACCTTTCCCGGCTTTAACGTATAAGCCTATCAGGGATCATTCACAATGCGCGCTATGCCCAATCCTCGAATATGATCTTTGTCATGGAATCAGATTAGCTCGAATCTGCCTCGTCGTTAATTAAATATAGATATTGACATTGATAGGCCATTGTGTATTGAATAGGCTGGGTTAATGAACGCCTGGCGCGTTATTCATTGCCGAGTAGAATCATTGATATCGAGTATGAAACTCGTTGGGTTATTAGCGAAATTGGATGATCCATATACATGATAATAATGAATTCATTTTTTAACTACCCATCTTGTCATTGTATAAAGTAAAGGTTCGAAGCGTCTATGCTTTGGGGTTAATAGTGACGAACGGATTATTTCTGTTATCGGGGTTGAGTGAATTTTACAAAAAAGCAGCAGCCGTTGATTTTCTAAGAGAAATTGAACAATAAGCCGGCGGCTATTTAGCGAAAGCAATATTTTAATGGAATTCAGACGTTAAGGAGAAGAGTCATCCTTGAGCAACTTGAATTCCCGATTCCATCAACGAATCAAATAGTCAGACACTTCTATGATTTTCGCTTTCCTTTCCTCTCTCCCTCACTCTTGCCAACTTTCATTCATATATTTTCACGCTCGCAGCATCTGTCTCTCCTTCTCATATTCTCCCTTTCTATTTCCCGTTATACTTTTACTCTATTTTCTCTTCGCTCGTTCCTCGTATTCATTTTTACTCAGACCAACACTGCGCGTACTCGTCTACGGGCACTCCCTTTGCATACCATTAGAATTATAAATTTATCATGCATCAAGGCGAACTTGCTCGCGACGATATAAACGCGACTTTGAGAATCCTTATATCCTGATAAAGAAGCAGTAGTGACGTCACTCTTTATTTGATATCGCACTAAGTGTCAATTTCAAATATCCTTCTGGCCTCAGCTTTAAGCTCCCACTCCTCGTAACGTTTTGGCGGGACGCACTCAACGTGAGCTTTTGTCTCCCGGGTAGACGCAGGGACGGAACAAGAAGTGAAAAGACTCGAACGAAGAAAAGAGAAACGTATGAAAGTTATTAGCCGAACGCGTTCAAAGAATTTGTACTGATGGTGAAAATTCGTTCTTCTGAAAATGGCTATCTTTTTTTAAGCAATTTAAGTCACCCTCGAACGTTTTTGTTCCAGAGCAAGGCCAGAATACGAGCAAAAAGAAAACAACTTTCTCGAAGTTGCTCCGAGGGCTAAAGACACACAGGAAAGAAAAACAGGGTCAAACGCAGGGCTCGCCGAGGCACGGTCGTGCCAGAATGGGTGTACCTCAGAGAGTAAGTATATAAAGTTTTCGAATTGTACGATATAGCATCGGAGTAGAATAAATTTTATTTGTATAAAAAATTTAAAAAAAAAAAAGAAAAAACGAAGAATCACCATCGATCCAAGGTGCGGACGAATGCACGGGTACGCGCTCGCTTCCCCGTGAAAATTCGTGTCGGTCGTCGCGATTCATATTTCCGTGACGTTAAAAAAAATCGCTCGTAAATCTATTCAGCGTAATTGCGTAGCGCGAAGTTTTTCGTTGGTCGCGACTAAATATTAAATAAACCACGAGCCAGCCAAAACTACCGTAGCCCATTCAAAACCCAGCAACAATATAGAAATTCTCTTTGCTGTAGGTCGTGGTGGATTTTATCGACCGGCTGACAAGGGTGAAAAGAAACGCAGTGACGAAGGGGCCGGTTGGTACTATCCACTTGGACGTTTTAAATCGCGACTAGTAAATTCGAGCTTGTCATTATTATTTTTTTTATTCATTTAATTTATATCCTCGTTGTCTCTGTGAATAGATTATTCTATTATCAGCCTAACGAATCGCTTGCGAATCATTGTTGTTGGTAATACAAAGGAGATGGGCTAGTCGCGATTCTTTGCTATATTTATTACGTATAAAAGTACTCGGTGCTCCATTCTCCTGGTGCGTCTAATTATAATACCAGTCTAGCAAGTTGGCTGCCCTTGCACGGCATTCGACTCTCCCATTCTGGTTATCTTGAATACCATGCAAGAGAGAAACTCGTCCCATTCAAAAAGCTCACGTCGATGAACGATATACTTTCCACGAATCTGTATATATATCTATATATGTACATATAAAGATTATACATAAACCAGCGAATCGGCTTACCTATATCCAAGTACCTATAGTATGTTCAACAGTAACCGGATGACGGTAGAATCTTAATGGAACTCTAAATGGCAAATTTGGGTTTAGGGTAACTTAAAAGGGATGGTACTGGAGAGATATTGTTTATTGACTTGGTTACACGTCTCGGGAGACCACGGTTCACGCCCAGAGGGTTTCGCGGAGCGTCGTTTGTTCCCCCCAGAACCAACCGCCTGGAGAGCAATTCGTAATTAACAAGTATTCAAGAAAACCAATGACGCGTCCCGAGGACTTCGTCATTATCGGCTCCGCGGTCCCTTTAGAAAGTCTATCCTTGCCGAACTCGAAATATCAGTACCCCGATAGAAGCGTGTACGTATAAAAGATCGCTAGAGAGAATCGATAACAAGCTTCAATGATTTAGGGAAGGAACGGCCCAAACCAAGCTGGATCATTGATCCGATTTAGATATCGACACGATCGTAGATCAGAATGGGACTGGACAATGGACTCGTTAGAGTCCGACGCAATCGATCTCAATTTACCCACATCGACCGGACGCAATTATCATATTTGCCCAAAGCCATCGCGCTCCTCGTTATCCTTTTTTTTATGCTCATTCGAAGCGACGAGATCGCGCTTTGACGTAAAAAAAAGGGAGACGGCAAGTGTCACAGAGGGGGTTCGGAGGCAGGCGCAGGAGGCTCGAGTGGTTGCAACAGATTTTTTTTCGTTCAACCCTCAAGCAGTATCCTCGCGTAGACACTCGACTCGACGATTTCCTCTCGCGCCAGGTAAAGTGCTCGCGGTCTACTGGTTGCAAAAAATAGAGGAAAAAGAAGCGAGAAAAAGGAAATATTTAATGTTCTAGGGACTTTGGGTGAAAGCTGCTGCTGCTGCGTCTATGGCGGCTGGACCCGGTATAGATACGACGTCCTGTCGTATGTCGCTATGTGTAAATTGAATTATGCCGAAGGGAATGAGTTATGCGGCGGGGTAGCGAGAGACTGTGGTTTTCGCAGGGGCAAGAGATCATCCGAGTCGGTCAGCTACTTCACTGAATAGAGAAGCTGCCCACCTCTAGAGGGTCCATTTGACGTGCAGACGGGCTTTGATCATCTCTCTGCTCTCGTGCCTAGGCTATCGCCACTCGTGTCCTGACGCGGTGCAGCTCAAGTCCGATGTTGCTATACTATGCACGTACATATATGTTATACCAAAGCGCACACGATGATACCGCAGCTTTTCATTTCGCCTGCGGGCTGTAATGGAGGTCAGCAGTGTCTGCGAATTCTCTGAGGATCCGGTTACCTGGAATATTGTAACTGTCAGTGACGATGCGGCAGTGGCGACTCGACAGGACCGCAATGTCATTCGTCTTCCTTTCATGTGGCTGCAATACGTCAATATTGAAATGCAAAATCGACATTGTTGTTCGTAGCTAAATTTCGCTATGATGATCATGACGCATTTCACTATAACCCTCTGGACATTCGAGGTACCCTGTTGGAGCAGCTTCATTTTATTCTGCCGTATATCGTCTTACTGCTCTCGCGTACCGTAAACGGTGGCTCGTCCTGGAGGGATGCAAATGCACCATCCGTTTTACGGCGTCGGTTCACGCGGTTGACCGAAGAGACTTCCGTTAGTGAAAGTCTTTGGGTTCCGTAATGCCGGGAAATTTGCTACGGTCCTCTTAATGGGGTGGCTTTGAGAACGTCGCGACGGAGACGTCGAAGGACTTAGGCAAGCTGGAATAGCCTGCGGCGGGTATACCCTTTCTCTCTCCTGCGGATGTCCTGTGAGCGTCGCGACGGACTGTACTCACCTTGCGTCGTAGGTATCTCTATGCGAGGTTGGGTTGGATCTTGCGAAACAGGAAGGTATCTTGAAAAAAAAGAAAAGAGAGGTAAATAATAAAATAGCATAATTATTCTTGAGAAAAACAGTAAACACCCGCGCTCGGAGCATTCCTAAACATAAACAAGACGGACCGCTCGCTTTATATGCTAATGTTAAAAGCTAGGGGAGGGAGCGTGAAATACACTCAGCTGTTAACCCCGTGACCCTAGCCGTTACGGCAACTCGCGTTTTGCTAGGCAGTAACGGCCTCGTTTAAATAGAGATATACCTAATTTGAATTAAAAGTGACTGCAGATATGATTTGGAAACAAACCCCTCGGCCAACAATCATTTCGCCCTCTTGAACCGCAGAAAACTGTCGTAAAAACTTTTCGTACGTATAATTCTCATTAAAGTGAAATCGTATTTCTTCTTGATAAGAAATACAGCGTCTTTCTAGTCTCTTTTAAATCAAATAACAGTTCAAATTGCGCGCCAAAGTCTACACTAGAATAATCCAGCCTATGCAACGTCTCTATAGCATTTCTACCCCTTAAAAGAATATGTGTTTCTCTATGCTACAGTATGGGTCCGTATACAGGTGGCCATAAGTCCATTAAATTCGCTGAGCGTAAAACTGTGTAGTGCCGTTAAGATAAAAAGTATAACAGCACCCTAGGAGGTCCGGGGAGGAAGGAGAGAAAGGAAAAGAGAGAGAGAGAGCATGGAAAACTAAGGGAAACCTTTCGAGCCGTGCCGTTTTAACAGCGGCTTATGGTTGCTCCCGGCTCATTGGTCTTACGTTGAACCGATACCAACCGCCTTCTTTGCGAGGACTGCTTTACATATACTGACGCTTGTATCGTTGAACTGAGCCAGCACTAAAAACTTATGGCGCCGTTAAGCAGATCTACGGTAGTCAAGGGTTAACTGCTTCTATATCTCCATTAGCCAGCCATTTCTTTCCCGGTCAAACCCGCCCATCCGCTACCGTATAAGCGCCCGTAAACATTTCCGAAATTCGAAGCCTCCAAGTAAACCTACGGAGACGGTCCCTCGCTTCTTCGTCTCGGAGCGCAAGCGCTCTGAAGGTCACTGACATTGCTGAGGGCGAGCCTTAAAGGGGGTAGAACCGGCGGTTTTGTCGAACTCGCGAGCCAACCGTATCTCTGGCATCGATCGTCCTATCGCTGTGTCACGATCTCTTGAAATTATCCGCGAGAACGAGTACTGCGAGTCAACGCGAACGGCATCAGATGGACGGAAAGAAAAAGAAATAACATTGTTTTCTTAGTCGGATACTCGAAGTCGTGTTTTCCGATTGACATGGATTGTTGATCGTAAAGTCGAAGTCGCTTAATGGCCGGGAAGCCGTAGAAATGGGGATTGCGTACTGTATATACGTATATACACTTTCAACTGTTTCTACCCTATAGCAACATATGTAGGTACAGAGGGTGCGTTTCCATAGGGTAGTATACGTGGCCGATATACCAATGAAACTTTATGGTCCTAATACAATCTTGCGTTATCAGCAGGTAGCAACCTGACAATAAAGGCCGACAGACGCGCAAATGCAAGGATCTTATCACTCAGGTAAAAGGGCACGAAGCCTATTCCTGCTTGTAATTTCGGTAATTTCCCAACGTTGCCCAAAGTTTAGTTCCTCGAATGACCGGCAGGGCCATGCATTTCAATGCGATGCTGCTGTATGTACACATCCCTAAGTGATTCTGGATTGTAATATATTATAGTTGCTTATAAGACATTTATTCGCGATGGTTAACAATTTACTAATTTTGCCATATATATAAAAGAATAAAATAAATGAACAATCAGAATTTGCAAGATATATTATAACTATAGTCTTTAATAGCACATGCCTCAATAGACCGGTTCCTCGCATACACACATGCATTCACACTAAAACATCCATATTCGCAATATTAATTATTTAATTATAGTTTTCTTTTATGAATCTGCCATTTGATAAAATAGATATACTCCTATCTTATTACGCACTTAGGGCAGCGAGACACTTTATAATCGAAATAGAACATGTTATAAGAGACTGATAATAAAAATATGAATAAATATAATTATGTAATAAATACGTCTTGTAGATTTCAGCGGGTGGATGATGTATCTCCCTTGTCTTAGTCGTCTCGGTATTCTTTCATTTGTTCCTTTGATTCCAGTATGATTATAGGATCCACATGCTGCAATATATTTCCAATTATGAATGGATCCTTTTTATCTTGCGATATAATTTCAATTAGGAGTGGATCTTTTTTTATAGTAGATCATTTCCCAAAAATATTT